AATAATGATATAGATGTTGATATGGTAGAGATAATATACTTTGACTAGTTCCATCCAAAATAAAATTTTAATTAAAAAGGAATTTTAACCTAAATTGTTACAAAAAGAGAATAAAAATTTATCCAAAAATTTCAGTAAATTACTAAAAAAGTTTTTAGTCTTTTAAAAAACATTAATTATCATACCAATGACCTTAAGATTGGTCCAACTTATTTTTAATGTAAATTTTATGGCAATCCATTACATGCAATCATATGAAACAAAATGAACTTAAACCCAAAAAAAAATTCGAAATCAAATCCATCTAAATTCCAATTGATCAAGAAATTAAAGACTTCGAATTCAGAACAACCTAACCCTAAAAAAATTTGAACTAAAAACAACTCAACTTCAAAATGTCACGAACTAAAAAATGACTTGATCAAAACTTGTAATAATCCAAACTTAATACCAAAAATGCAAAGAGAAATTCTATTTTCAGCCATAAATTTGCTCATTGCGGCAAAAAATTTATAATTTTTTCATTATAAAATTACCCTTGCATTGATGTACTTTATTTTTTCCTAATAAAATTACTTTGTAACCCTTATCTCTTAGTCACATTCAATTGCCTTACTTTTCTTCACAACCCTACACCACCTAAATCAAACTCCTGCGCCTCCTAAACTAGTTAAATCAAATTCAATCTTTTCCTTTAGGCTTAAATATAAAAAAAATATTCAATAAAAAATTAAATAATTATCCAAATCTTTATTATTTTATCGTAATCAATTAAGGTTTAAAATATTTATTTTTTTAATTGAGCCTTTAAGTTTTTTTTTTTTATCAAATTGAACCTTAAATATTTATTTTATTCAATTAAACTTTCAATTAAATGAAAATAAATGTCATGATTAATTAATTTTTATCTAATAAAAATTCAATTGATGAAATAAACTGATAAGAGGTTGGATAATTATTTAATTTTAGTTCATAGGCTATTTTATACTTGTGTCTTTCTTTTAAGGTTAATTAGAGAACGCAGGAAATAGAAGTGGAGAATGAAAAGAAAAACTATCATGACGTGGAAGAAGACTACGAAAAATGGATGAGGCAAGCATTCCTGCATTCGTAATTTTAAGTGGAATCTTTTAAAAAAATTTGCACAAACTGGTACATATTTTTGTATAATTGGATAATTGAAGCTTTTTGATGCACATGTTCTTTCGTGTGTTGGTGTTTAAGGCATGGGTGTGTAATTTTGACTGTGGGGGCTATAGTGTAAATATAAAAATGTTTACTTGGATGTATTAAGCAATTTTTAAGAGGGTTAGTTTGAAATATAATTGAAGTTACTGCTTAGTACAGTGGCTATAATGAATAAGATCATAGCAGCAAATAAAATTTCTCATATGCAAAATTTAATTATCAATTTTATTTTAACTAGATTGGTTCGAGATGTGAACTATCATTGAAGCTTAAAAGGCCGTCCAAAATTTGTAAAGGTTTGAACATGAATATTAAGTTTGTTAACTGAATTTGAGTTTAAACTAAAGACTTATTTAAAAAATAAGTTGGCCTTTGGACATAACATTTAAGGTTTAAGCCAGGTTAGCTAGATAATTATTTATATATATTTATATTTATAATTATATTATATAAAAATATAAATAATTAGATAATATATGTGTACATATTATTATCCTATGCTTATATGTGTCTAATTTCACTCAAACATTAAATTAAATTAACAAAATCAGTTTTTTAAGTTTTATTTTGTTGATTATTTATTATGTTATAGTTAATATTTATTATTAAATTTATTTTTATTTAAAAAATGTGCTAAGTTAAGCAACAAATAAGCCTCGTATTTTGGATTGAGTCAATTGGAATAAATTTAAAACTGTTGATATCTTGTTTAAATATAATCTAAATTTGATTTAACTCAATTCAATTTATAAACAGATTTAATACTAATCCAAATTTGGTTTGAACTTTAAATAGCTTTTTCAAGTTGATATGAGCTCGAAACGTTATGTACTCCTGAGAATTCGAACACAAACAATTAATATGATATGAATCTAAAATTAGATATGATAATTCATATTATTATATCGTATAAAATATTATACTCATATATATTTTACATAAAAATCACGTGTCATAATTTATGTGGACACAAAATAAAAAAATATATTTTTAAATTTATTTATATATTTTATTTATATTATTTTTATATTATATTATCATATCATATTTTAAATTATCGAATCTATTTAAAACGACTCAAATCCAAAACGTTCTACTTCCTGCCGTTATCCACTTCTAAATGTAAGCAAGATGAATGAACAATAAATTTTGCATATGCACTCGTGTGCAATTAATGAAGATACCAACAAAGAAAAAGCGAGGAAGCACTGTAAAAAGGAAGACGTTGGGCAAAAAGAGAACAAGGTTTTCAAAATTCAAATGTAAAGTGATATCATTTTATATTTAAGTTTAAAATAACGAAACAAAGGGGTTTTGATTTGGAAAACAGCCTGGGAAAGGATGCTAATCATATACTTAAGAATATATAAGATTATAAACAAATTCAAAGGCATCTTACCTAATAAGTTGTTTTGACTGCCATTTTTTGAAGCATGTCTGCTTCTTACCCCTCTTTTCTTCCTCAATTTGCGGCAAAGATATATTCACTGATATGTCTTATTATTCTCGTCATTATATAAAAATAATGTTGTTAATTTCATTTTTGTATTGATTGTACAGATTGATATATTTTAATTATATCAAAATAAAATAAAATTAATTAACAAAATAATCTTTAAAAATTGAATTTCTTTATTTTTTCATTATAATTTTTAATTTTTAAAATAAAATTTATAAGTATTTTAATTTTTTTCAAGAAAGTAATTATACTTTTTGTCTAAAGTTTAACAATCATGAAGTCAAGATTAATTTTTTTATCTCTTTGTTTTTATTTTAATATTTACATAAAAATATTTATTGAAATACCACATGATCAAATTCAATATTTAAAAATATCATGATAAATTGATGATATTATTTTTAAAATTTTTAAACTTATTTATTATAAATAAAATATGAAAATCTTTCGAACTAACCCTAATAGATATTTAAATTTACTATATTTCTAAATTGTCATTTAATTTTTTTATCATAAATGATAATATGAGTTATCTAATTAAACTTTAATTTTAATTATGACTAATTAATAATTAAAAGTAAAGAAATGTTGCATTCAAACATTTGGTAAACTATTCCCAAAAAATTTCTTTTTAGAAAATTTAATTGGCGGATAACCCTCTTACTTTTTGAATAGGGTTCGAATTCATATTTCTCCATATAAAAAAAACAAATATTAATTAGTAAATTAATAAATAAATTTGATAAACTATTCCCAATTTTTTTTTTAGAAAATTTAACTAGCCAACATATTTTTTGTGAAGTTACAAGCACAAAAAAAATAATAATAATAATAAAATATTATATGATTGTACGAAATCAATGAATTAAATGAAATAAATAAATCAATGAAGACACTAACATATAATTAAATAAATTCAAATAAACCAAAACTTTCCCCTTTTATTTTTTTATTAGAATTTTGATTTTTTGAATTAAAAAAATAAACATATAAATTAAAAATTAAAAGAAAATTATAAAAACATAACAAATAAATAAAACAATGAAAATTTAAGTTAGACAAAGCTGGTTTCATGCTGAGATCCAAACCCAATCACAGGTCCAAAATAACCATTTTTAAGCCCAATTAATAAATAATAATTCAAAAAGCAATCTTGAGGCCGAAAAGAAAATCTTGAGTCAAAAGATTGAATTTTAAACTCGATTTAATAAAATTTAATTATTGATAATGAGAATCAAATTTATTTTTAAATTTGAATTAACCTTTTTAAAAATTTTAAGATAAAATAAAATGCTAGACTTATATATATTAAAATTTTATATTTAATACATTCTCAATTTATAATGTTATATATTGTTAATAAATTGTACAATGACACATTATTAAAGAAATTAATATTAAATATATTTTTAGGATTAAAGTATATTTATTTTTAAGGTTTTAAAATTTTAAAATTAATGTTTAATAATTGTCATTATATTATTTATTAATAATATATACTATTTATATTTTAATAGTACATAAAATATAATTTTATATATGAATATATTAAAAATATAAATTTAATTAAACTCCTCAAATTCTATTAAGCTAATTACTCAAGTACCATAATTCGAGGTTAATTCTACGATAAATAATTTATTTAATTTAAGGTTTATATTTGATGTATTATTAGTATATAAATTTTATATATTATTGTATGATATCATTTTATTAGTAAAGTGAATTATATGATGTCATTTTATTAATGAGTAAATTTTTTAAAAGAATTTAAATTTTTTTATATTTATTTTAAGAATTGATATTTACTTATTAATGAGATGTTATGATCTGATTCACTAATAATATATAAAATCTAAAATCTATACATTGATAGTGCATTAAATATAAACTCTTTAATTAAGTTTATAAGATCATATTTGATGTATGGATGATATATATAATCATTATATAATGTATTTGGTTTGTATCTAAAAAAATGATAAGATTATACGGATTAATCTTTCTTTAGGTATATGATGATTCAATTCTCTTTAAATAAAAAAAATTATTTTTAATTTATGAAATTTAAATTTATATATCTAATTATATCTTTAAAAATTATATCAATAATTTAAATTATATATTTATTTTAAAAATAATTTTAATTAATAAATAAATTATTTTATTCTCATATTTATACATATCAAATATAAAATAATATTATTTAATTTAATTATATTTATAATATTATATTATATTATTTTATTATAATTTTATGTATCGAACCTATCTTAAATCTGTCCGATAGCCAGATTGCCCGAAGAATAGTGGGAGTGGGAGTGGGAGTGGGACGGTGTTTGTTTTTTTTAGTACTTTTGTCCTAGTCCTACTATTAGTAGTGGAAGATGTTAGGCGCATGAACATCCCCCCACGCCAACCCATTCGGCAATATCTAATCTGAACTTCTCCACTAACACGAACCCAAAAGTTAACTGATTGGCAATGGCAACGGTAGCAGTAGCAGCAACTACAAGCGCTTCATCCCTGCAGCTCTCTTCAACTTCTGTTCATGGTACATTCCAAACTAGTGATTTCACCTTCTTGGGTGTCTCAAAACCTCCTCCATTTCCCAGCCCAAAACTAAAAACCTCTGCTGCTGCCATCAGGTAACTGGAGAGTGGGAAGTGGGAAGTGGGAACTTCTTTTTTAGCATTTTCTTGCAATTGAAGTTTGGAGTAAAAAAGGGTTGGATTTGGATTTGTTTTACTGATTGTATTTCTGATGAATTTCTGCAGATGTCAATCCACAAGTACCAACGAACCAAAAGCTAAAAGGAATCTTTTGGATAATGCAAGCAACCTTCTTACCAATTTCCTAAGTGGAGGAAGTCTTGGTTCTATGCCTGTAGCTGAAGGCGCTGTTTCTGATTTGTTTGGTCGACCTCTCTTCTTCTCTTTGTATGATTGGTTTTTAGAGGTACTTTTCCTTTTGCCTTTGATTGCAAGTTTTTAGTATGGATACTACTGATACTATCTTGAGTTTTGCTACTGTGACCACCTTTGCTTGTTCTGGCTGCAAATTCTACTAATGATATGTAGGTAGAGATTCAATCGAACTTTTTGAGTTGCCAATACTAAGGTGACTTCTACTATCCACAAAACTCCCTTCCTAATATTTGGACTTGAGACTCTGACGGAAAGTTTCAAGTCTTAAATGTTGGGGTTATCCTCTTCTGGAAATTTGAGTTGCTAACACATATTTGAATCATAACAGTGATTATGCTATGTAACCCTGTGGTTGAGTTTTGTTTTCCCTTTATTATGTGCTATAGTCCTTTGTTGCTTATCATTGTTGATGATCTGAACCTCATGATTCTTACTGTTTTGTTTTTCTTTTGTTTGATATCTTAATTTATGTGGCAGCATGGCTCTGTGTATAAACTTGCTTTTGGGCCAAAAGCTTTTGTTGTTGTATCAGATCCTATTGTTGCAAGGCATATTCTTAGAGAAAATGCATTTTCCTTTGACAAGGTACCAATTTTTACATCTTGGTAGTTGATTTCTTTTCCCTTAAAATGCTTTTTTTATTGCTTCTTCTATCACCCTAGGTGTATTATGTTAATACATTATCTATGAATTTTTTACATGCCAACTTGATGTGAAAAATTTTATTTCCTTTACATTTTCATGTTAATGTGTATGCATCAAAGGGCTTAATTTTCATTTTCTGATTCTGTAATTGATTTATCAACTGTGATTTTAGATGTGGCTAATGGGAGGAAATTTGTAGCGCAGCATCTAAATAAGGCCTTCTAAAGATTTGTTTTCTGCCACATTTACCCGTTGAATACTGCTCCAAACTCTTTGACATTGAAAGATAAATAAATACTTTCTAAATAAATATCATCAATGAGGTTTATGATTATCAAACAGAACCAGCCATGCAATCACTTAGCTAGAAAATGTTAAGTTTGATTGCACTGTCATCCGCTCTAGAATTTAGCATCCTTCATTTTAGTAATGTTCTATTTCTTAATTACAATTTTGAACTCATTTACCCAAATTTTCATTTTTTGAACTAGGGAGTTCTGGCTGATATACTAGAACCAATAATGGGCAAAGGACTTATACCTGCCGATCTTGACACATGGAAACAAAGGAGAAGAGGTATGAAATTTATGTTATTTGATGTTGAAGTTTTATCTGCATCTGATGCGGACAGAAGGCACTTCTTTTGTTCTCCGATTGATAGGTATCTACAGCATTATCATTTTCTCTTTTGAGCACTCACTCGTGATCTAGAAACTATATGGTCAGCTGCTCAAGTTTAGGGAACTTAAATTAGAAGACGATGCTTGCTCTTTTCATACAGACTCAGGTGTATAAACTTGGTAGTTCGGAATTTATCTGTTAAGAAATATATTGGAATTTCATCAACTTTTTCATGAACTTCAGGATGCAGGTTCCTTCTTTAACATTTTAATAAATCCTTAGATTTGCTATTATTTTGACAGTCATCAATTTAAGGTATTTTTGTGGATGTTTGTAGAATGCTCTTTCAAAGCATCACATGTTTTGTTCCATCATATTTGGTCAACATGCATATCTGCTTGAAATCCTTTCTTTTGGATAATTGCTAGTAAACTATTCATTTTTGAAGTGCTAGTTTGATTATTGATCCAACTTTGTCTGCCCATTTTGGCTTTGAGGTCTATATAATGACATTAAAAATATCATTCCTAGAACAAGTCAAGATTTTAGAGATGGAAGCAAATTTTCTAAATGATACCAAGAGAGATAAGTAGAATGGTCTTACAGTCTCATCTGGCATATGTATCATCAGAAAGGAGAAAAAGAAACAGCTAAGTTACATAAATGTGGCATTCATTTGAGTAGACTAGTCTGAGAGAATGATTTGTGTAGTCAATACCTATTGTTTTGACCTAGTGGATTCTGCTAAATATAAAATTCTATTTTTACTCTTTAACTATTATAGTTTCTGGAGATATTCATGGCTTTTCAAATTTATGATTATCAATTATATTGAGGTGAATAAAATTCTTACAGATAATATTTTTGGTAATGTTTAATTTGTTTAAAAATGTGCAGTTATTGCTCCTGGATTCCATGCATTATACTTGGAAGCTATGGTCAAAGTATTTACTGATTGCTCAGAACGAACAACAATGAAATTTGAAAAGCTTCTAGATGGAGAACATTCGCGTGGAGGAGATGTGATTGAGTTAGACCTTGAAGCAGAGTTTTCAAGCTTAGCTTTGGATATTATTGGACTTGGTGTCTTCAACTATGACTTTGGTTCTATTACAAAAGAGTCTCCTGTGATTAAGGTCTGATAATACTTTCTGGAAATCTGCAATTTTTTTTGCATTTTTCCTTTGCAGTGCACCTCAGCATGGTACTATATTTCTTTTAACTAATGGATCACTGATAGTTGAGTGAAATAATAAACACTAACATGTATGACATTAAAATGTGTTCTATCCTGTTTGTCACATTTATATTTGATTTTCACTTAATTGGCAAGTCTTATTAGCCATTACTTGCCATGCTTGTGCCATACATGTCCCTGCTACTCAATTCAAATAGTCATGTGAAGAACTATATGACCATTCTCACCATCACAAGTTGCTCAAATATAGCTGCTTGCTCGACCCTCTTCATTTATGACAATTTTTTATGTCTTCAACTCTCTCATCATAATCTGAGGAGAGCAAATTTTTATGTCTTCTTATTATTCTGTCCCATGTGCATTTCAACTTATAGTGATGCATTCTATCGTCCTTATTAGTTCGCCTTAACCTATCCATTCCAAGCCTGAGAAAGGATCCTGGTAGCATAGCTGGGCATACAGTTTCTGGATGTTGGTGGCATTTTGGCCTTAGGTGCTAATTAGGACTAGCAGAAACTAAAAAAGAGTTTGGGCTGAAGTTTTGAGGCAACAGTGGCTAAATTATGACTATAAATAATGTGCCTTTTGTGGAAGAAGGGAAAGATTACTTGATGCTGCTTGACTCTGAAGTGGAGCTTTGTTGAATAAAGTCCTGCTCTTCTGTGATTCAGTCCTCTAATCTGTTCTGTTAACTTGCTTTACTTTTTGCTGCAGGTAATGAATAAACCTATAATTTAGTAGAGTGAAATAAGGAAAGATCAATAATCCCAAGCTCTTGGAAAAAACTGGCCAAATCATGGAGCGGTTCAGTCTGCCACAGCTCTTGTAATAAAAGGGTTTATACTGAACCTTGCAAGGACATATAGGATTTACAATGCCTTGTAATATATGTGGAGCTGATTGTGTTTTTGAGACGAGGGTTTAAGTTTCCAATGTGTCTTTATGCAGTCTTTTTCTGCCTTAGGAACTCTGAAAAGTTTTCAGTCTTATGCCTAGACTAACAACTGCAAAAGAATTCCAACAATTTTTGTTTATGTTGCCCTAGGAGATAGAAAGCAACTTGTTTCCCTCTTGCCACTTGCCCTTTGGCTTGGATCAAAAAATACTTTTTCTCCATCTTAATGTCTAATTTTTTACTATTGCTGTAGTAAGCAGTTGCAGCAAAAAGATCTGCCAAACTTTCTGATTGACTAATTCTATATCTTGGGTATTTGGTTCAAACTGTTACTATAACCTCCAATATCCAGGTCACATTATGAAAGCATTGCATTTTAAGACACATTTATCACCCTCTAAAAATACATTGCAGGCAGTGTATGGTACTCTTTTTGAAGCTGAGCATCGATCCACTTTCTACATCCCATACTGGAAAATTCCTCTGGCAAGGTGGGTGGTCCCTCGACAACGGAAGTTCCACTATGACCTTAAGATCATCAATGACTGTCTTGATGGACTCATCAGAAATGCAAAAGATAACAGACAGGTTTGAATTTAATCCATAAATGAGCGTCACACTTATATCGATGCTTTCTTTTTTAATAATTTTTTCCTCGAATTCTTTTTGTTCTGTTTTTTATTCTTTATTGATTTTACTGAAGGAAAACCATGTTTTTGTCTTCATAAGTTTGACTTTTTTTATTGTTATGAAAGAACCATTGTTTGGGGAATATAATGAGTGTTAATTAATCTTTCTAGTGCTATGAGTATGAGAAAGTGGGATTGATCACAAAATCATGGCAGGAGTTTTCAGCACCACAATTTTCCTTTCTAAGTGCAAGTATGAGTAATGGATTATTTTTCTTGATGTCTAAGTAGTGAAAACTAACACCAATAAAACAACACTCTTATATGGATCTCATGCATTGGGTTGTTTAGCACTTGTAATGACTCAAATTTTAAATTGAAGCTGCTTGAGATTGAAAAATAGAATGTTCATACTAAAATCATATTTGTTATGCCCACAGTGAAGAGTAAATTTGAAAATTCACCTCAAGCAACTTTGTTTCATGTAATTTCTATGACACCAAATAGTGCCAAAGAATATGACTCTTTTATTGGAAAGAAAATGAAAGTATAGCAAGGATTAACCTCAAGTCCCACCTGAAAAGGTGAATCAGGTACAATAACTTTAAGTTTGATGGGTGAACCTATTGGTTGCCTTCAGCTTGGATGGTGGAACTGTGGGAGTGAAAGATATAAGTTTTAAGGTTCTTGTCATTATTTTGGACAGATCAATGTCACACCAACAACTGAGACAGCTTTAATTCCATTCAAAACCTAAGATGCTTTTGTGTCTTGGGAATGATCCTTGTTAACCTGACATAAAAAAATGATTACCGGCTTTGAAGAAGTGAAGTACATTATAAATTATTTTGATAAGTTGTTGTCTATCAAAATTGAAGCCCAATACTGCAACATATGGGTATATTTCTACAATAAGTTGAATAGTATCATGCAGCCTTTTGCTTTTGCTAATCAGATTGGTATAAATGTATGAGAGTTCTCATAGCATGCCCCATATAAACTAAATATGGAATATTGCTCATATTTACTGGCAGGAAGCAGATGTTGAAAAACTGCTGCAAAGGGACTACTTGAATATTAAGGTGCAATTACATCCTTAAGTGTCTTTCCACTAAAGTATTCATGTTCCTTCTGTAGATGGGCGTCATAATATTTAGAAAACCTTTTGAAATTTAGATATCATAATTATAATGTCTGCAGGATGCAAGTCTTTTGCGTTTTTTGGTGGATATGAGGGCAGCAGATGTTGATGATCGTCAGGTAAATTATCTTCTGCTGATTGGTGCTTCCAAGAATAGGATTAACTTGATATAATAGGGCATCTCTTCTTATTGCTGTTATTATAGTCTATTGGAAAATTGGTCTTTCTGCCCCATTTCTCCCATGGTCTAGTTTTCATGTCTACTTTTGGGGGTTAATGCAGCCATCTTCTTGTAGTTCCTGCTATTTTAGGCAGCATAAATACCTTATCTTATTCAATGCAGGTGTACAAACACACCAATGGGCAGGTTCAACCTGCCCATAGCCAAGAATCTCTTTTGGCATTTTTGAATTTATGTGCAAAACTGGTATTCACATTTGGCTTTATTCAACCTTGTGGTTTATTTAACAGCTGAGAGATGATCTAATGACAATGCTTATTGCTGGCCATGAAACAACAGCAGCTGTTCTAACTTGGTCTGTTTTCCTTCTTGCACAAGTATGATTCCTTCTACGAAATTTTGGACACGGCATTCGTTTTTGTCATGTTGCTTTATAGATATACTCATTCCTTGTTATGATTTTGAGCCATACTGATGTCTATTATTTTGGTGAAAATGCAGAACCCATCTAAAATTAGAAAAGCTCAAGCAGAGATTGATTCAGTTCTGGGCAAGGAGAGACCAACTTATGAATCAATTAAAAAGTTGGAGTAGGTCTCCAAGTCATTACTCTGATGAAAATTTTCTGCTCCTTGTTCACTATTTTATACTTAGTTTTCTAGTGCAGTCTGCAACATGATAATAGCATACTGAACCATAGGCTAAAACATGCTAATTAAAATGGACCATTATTATTATGCACAGTTTTGGCGTTCAAACTTACACTTTCTGATTTTTTTTTTTCTTTGATGTCCAAAGTTGAGTAGAGCTTCAATAGATATTAATAAAACACCATTGAGTCTTAAGTTCACATATATTTCACAAATAATATGTCCTTTTAATTTAAGGTTATTATAGTAATGAAATATGTAAACTTATTACATGAGAAATTTAATTTATGTTGTTTAGCACACTTCAATTCATTTCCATTTGAACTAGAAAATGCTTCATGATATTTTAGATTCTGCTTTACCGTTTAGGTACATAAGACTTATTATTGTAGAGGCTCTTCGCTTATATCCTCAGCCTCCACTGCTTATCAGACGAGCTCTTAAAGCAGATGTGTTACCAGGTATATCTCATTAATACTATCTTCTTTTTCAGTTCCTCTCTCTCCTCCCCTGAGGGTTGATTGATATTATTCTTTAAGCTAATTTGTTTAGCATGTCCAGTTAATGCATATTATATCACAACTAGGGTAATATGTACTTTTCAATAAGAAAAAAGCTTAAGTTGTCAGCATATAGGTCATTTATGTCGAAAAGGGAGATTCTAAGAGAGCTGGAAATAACTGAAAATTAATGTTCATGTGATTATATGGAAAGTAAGATGAAACTAGGAAATTTTAAATGATTTGGTGCAACATAAATCAGTGGTTTCATATGGGTGTAACTGGATCTTTTAAAATAAGGATACATATGAACAAAAATTGCTATAATTTGAGGTTTAAAAGCCAAGGTTTTTATTGACAGGAGGATACAAAGGTGACAAAGATGGTTATGCCATTCCTGCTGGGACTGATATCTTTGTTTCTGTGAGTTTAACTAGTATTTGCTTCTTAATAAACCCTTTGCAAGTTTCTTTGCTTGTTTTGAGTTCTATATATGTTTTTATTGACATCAATTGCCCAAAATTCGATTCTTTCAGGTATATAATCTTCATAGATCCCCATATTTTTGGGACCGGCCCCATGATTTCATCCCAGAGAGGTTTCTGATACAAAAGAAGAGTGAAGGCATTGAAGGATGGGCAGGTTTTGATCCATCTCGGAGCCCTGGAGCACTATACCCTAATGAGGTTTCTTATCATAAGCTCCATGCTTCAATCAAAACACCATGCTCTAATTTATGTTTCTTATATCAGGTTTATCATTTCAATTATCAGATAATATCAGATTTTGCCTTCTTACCTTTCGGCGGGGGACCAAGAAAGTGTGTTGGAGATCAATTTGCACTCATGGAGTCAACTGTAGTATTGGCCATTTTGTTGCAAAAGTTTGATGTGGAGTTGAAAGGATCTCCCGAGTCTGTGGAGTTAGTGACAGGTGCAACAATTCACACAAAAAAAGGATTATGGTGCAAGCTAAAGAAGAGGTCTTATGGCCATTAATATTTTCCCTTTACCAGGAATTGAGCTTCCACACTGCAGTATCAACTTACAGAAAGTATATAACATATTCTTTCAGGGATGGAAAAAGAAATGTAAATTTATGGATATGCTCTACAAATATTGAGACAGAAATAAAAATCCATATATTTCGGTCACCTTACCTTCACAAGACTTAAACTATCAGCAGGAAATTTCAACTTGACCTGTTGTCATTTTTTAATATTTGTGGTTGCCAGAGATGGAAACCCGATCACTAAAATCAAGAGTCTAGCGACTTTCCACAAATTTCAAGTTGACCTGTTTTCCTACAACCCTCCACTTGTATTCATTTAACAATCTATGAGATGAGATTGAGTAGACATATTGGGAAAGCATGCAAAGAAGAGGAAATCAATGGCAGAGTGTTGTTGAAGTTAAGGAATATATGACTATCCAGGGAAAACAGGACAGGAACAGGGCTAAACAAGTCTATAAAACATTATACGTTATCGAACATCATAACAGTTTTTGTAAGCATGAAGCCTCAGGAAGAGGCTAGTAATTCCACCGTTTATAAGGTGAGAAGTTAAAATCTAAAGGCAGCACGCTAACCTGGGTTTTCCATTTGTGCGACAACCTTAAGAATCTCATTCTACCTGAATGAAGGAGGTTAAGGAAAAGGTCCAGCCTGCTCCAAATGCCTTCAAGTCATTTTGTCATTGCTGTTAAAAGCAATGCATAAAAATGAAAGTCGTGCTTTATTTTTTCCAATCCTTTTTGGCTGGGGCATATCAGAGTTAGCAAAGACAAAAGTTGCCCGGATTTCAGCTCACAATGTACCACAGAAAACTGTGGGATGACTTATATTTTGCTTTGGATATCGATGAAATTAGCTGATGTGAATAACAGAGCAATAAACTGTTTCTTGGATTCACTTTTCCTATTACTATATACAGCCCTGACTCTATTGTTAACTGTCTCAAGATCCAGTTCCAGGAACCATAATGGTGTCTCTTCATCATGGATGTCTTGAAACACCACCATGCAATTGTGTTGATCTCATTTGGGGCTCATCCTGCAATAGGGAAATACAAAAATGTATAAAGAAATGCCAGCTCAAAAATATTATCTGACTAATCTTTTCCAAACTACCTGCAAAGCATTACTGAAACTTGCTGAAGGCCGATAATCCAATTGTCCCTACATGAGAAAGCACAATAATGAAAATTTTAGCATCATAATCATTTTCATATAACCAAATTTATCAACAAAAAAAAAATGGCATTACAAAATTTCATACCAGTCCATGCATGCTTTGTTGAGTGCCAAAAAACTGTCATGGTTGGGTGCTCTAGAGTTCAACTGTCCCTACATGCACAAAATGCAACCCAAACTATAACAGAACTATAACTACTTATAAGAAGCCTTGATGACTAACAGTTCAGGCTAGGTGCATCATTTTGGGTCAATCAGGTTATCATTGCCTGTTTTAGCCAATTTGGGTCATGCTGGATCAGGTTTTGAACAGCTGAGCTAGGTTATCTGGGTTCAGATTAGACCAAGTTCATGGTGTTAACTTCTCAAATAAATTGAGGTATATGATTTCGTTCGGGTTGGAAGCTTGTTTGGTTGTGTCAGCTTTTCTTCATTCCATATCTCCGTAAAATTTTCATGCTTCTCACAGTCCTAAACTCCAAATGTTATGGTTCCTTGATCTTCATTTTCCCTTTTGGGATGGAAGCCGACTACACCCAAGACCTCAACCTGGAACTTTTTGAATATTGCATGTGAATAAACAATTGACATCTGTTTTTCCCATGGTGATGCAGATTTTAGTGCCAACTGTTTCTGCCATGTACCAAAATCAGCTATAGCTTCCTCTTCATACCTATTTTGCAGAATTGCCCCATATTGTTTCACAAACTCTTTCAAAGTAATTTTCTTATGGATGTATTTATGAAAGAAGGACTTCATTCTTTCAAAACGCTGACTTGGAGACATTCCGGCAAGAAACACATTGTCCATGAAAGTAGGTACCCATCTTTGCGGTCTTCATACAATGACTGAACCCACTCATCATCTTGGAGTTCAAATCGAGTTATCATTTTCCACCATCGCATACCAAAGTCTTCATCAGTCCAAGATTTGAAAATGCACTTAATGAATTTAGGCAAAAAGTTCTTATGCGGTCCAATTACATGTGCAAGAGATTTGGGGATCTTTTCTAAAATAGGCCAAAGAGCAAAGCAATGGCATGCAGTTGGGAAGACCTCTTCAACTGCGGCCTTTAATTCTTTGTCTTGGTCAGTAATTATAATTTTGGGAGCTTGTCCACCCATTGATCTAAGCCATGTCTTCTTCAGCCAAACAAATATGGGCTTAGTTTCATCAGCAAGCAATGCACATCCGAGTAACATAGACTGAAAGTGATGGCTAACCCCAACAAATGGTACAAATGGTAATTTCTCATTGAATTTCACATAGGTGGTATCAAAAGAAACAACATCATTGAAACTCGCATGGTCATTCCTACTTTTAACATCAACTCAGAGCAAATGTCTCAACTTGCTCCTCATTTAAATCTATTGCATAGAAGCAGTCAGGATTCTCCTTCTTGATACGCTTAAAATACTCGACCATAATTTGAGGATCTCCCTTATCCACGACCAAGTGCCTACCCTTATCAAACTGATTTTTTATGTCATTCTGAAGGAAGCTTACATTTTGACATCCACCGGACTATCTAGACATCTCAACATAGTGACATACATCTTTCTATTCGGCTCACTAACAGCATTCAGAATGTCAATATTATTCTTTTCAGCCAATTTTACATTCCTATAGATTCGAAAATGGTAAGCAAGGGTTGGCAAAAGCTCATGATTGTGCTCCTTGATGAATTCATGAGTAATCCACTTGCCATCCGGCCTTCTTTTCACTTGCATGCTGGATATGCAGCCTGTCTTTTTCACACTTGATCTTCCACTGCTACCAACGTCTGATTCTGGTATGATTCCATATCTGGAACATGCAAATTTAGCATCAATAAATTCCTTTGATTTTTTTGAGCGCCTAGTGTTTTTAATGCAGGTAGTAAATCCAATAGACATGGCGTATTCCTGATAAAAGGCATATGCTGCCTCGTGTGCCATTTCGTAGCTCAAACTCTGTATCCTCTTCAAATCCCATAACAGACCTTTTAAAGGAATCAACTATCCTACCATCTCTACTATGTGCCGCTTCAACCAAAATATCAACCATATTTTCATTCACTCCATCGTTACAAGGCAAAGCGTCTCTACAATCCACCATATTACTAATTGCATTTTGGTTTTTCCCAATCTTTAACATGACCACCAATTGGTAGCTTCCTCTCTATTTCCATGAGCTTGAAAAATCCACTTTTCCAACAGATAACTCTCAGTGGCACCTGGTAAACACCACAAAAGAGGACATCTTTTACAAACCTACTGTCAGTAACAATGGGAAACCATTTGATCATAGCACAGTAAACTAACCCGAATTATAACCCTATCACGACCTATTTAGGTTAATTTGGTTCGATTAGCATGCTTAAACCTCATCAGTACCTGGCAAAAGGGAAAAAAAAATTAAAAATTCATCAAATACAAAGTTCTTTCTAATGAAAACAACATTCAAAAACACGAAATGCTGATGAATTGAATACCCATATTTCAAAAGAATATTTTTAAACTAAAATTAATTAAAAAATATTTTAGTTTTGTATTAAATTAAATTAAATTTATATTTATTAAATATCTATGATATATAATTGCAGTTTTGTGTCAATTCATAAAAAAAAAAGTATACTAATAATAATAGAATATAGCATTAACCAGCAAAGGTTATACCAAAAGAAAAATATTAACTATTTAAAGTTATATTAAGGGAAAAATTACAACTAATATAATATATTTTTTAAAATATTGTTGAGAAAAATGCATTAAATACTATTCAATGTGTTTAAAAATATTAAACTTAATTCTCAAAAATATATATTAAAATAATTAAGTTGTTATTTTAAAAAATAAAAATCATTTTAATATATATTTTCATTAAATTTATTTTTATGAATAGTTAAACTAATATAATCAAATTATCAAACACATTCTCTCATGTTCTTATTGAATTGATGAATAATTTTTAAAAATTTATAAATTTAAAGGACTTAAGCACCGACTTAAGCAGATAAAACTTGAGAGGATGAATGAAGATTAAAAATTAAAAAATATATATTTGCAAGAAAATGAAAACCAAGTGTAGAAAATTAATATTTATAAGTATTTATTAATTGATTACTGAAATCTTTAAATAAATGGTGCGTAGGCGCGGGGATCACACCCGCAACAACTGAAGGGGGTGGGTAGGTAAGAAGCAAAGTTGAAATGGAAGCTCATGCCATGTCGAGAATTACAGCTATTAGCTACCATTACCAACTACCCTTTAATCCTTGGCTTCTCTAATCTTTGTCTATATAACTGTTGATATAAAACTTCCATTTCCACCTTCCTTGTTCACTTCTCTAAAGGTAAGTTTCAATCTTCTTTTGCTCTTTTCTCCTTTTATTTCAAGTTTATGTAAATTAATGAACATTTCAATAAGCAACTTAATTTCAGACCTCAACCTCCTTCTCTTGCTGTATTTCTTAGGATTTGTGGGTTTCAAGTTGAATAATCTGTTCCAACGATTCAAATGGCAAAAGAAGTTGTTAACCCCGATGAACCTGTAATCTACCCTTTTAATGATTCAATTTTACCGGTATTTCATGGGTTTTTTTTCTTTTCTTTTCTTTTGGTCTGTGGATTAATGGTTTTGTTACTTATTAAGGTTGTTGTTGGGGAAGAATTAGACCATGTGCGACTGATCACTTTGAACAGGCCTCGACATTTGAATGTCATCTCATCCAAAGTGGTATGTAAATGTGCTGTTCAACCATCAAAATCAAATTAAAAGGAAAAAAAACAAACTATTGGCTTGTTGTATGAATTCAATCTGCATTGTCTTTGAGCTTTTATTTAAGTTGGCGAAGTCAAATCTTCTGAAATTATTGTTTCTTTTACTGCAATAGGTTTCCCTGCTAGCTGAATACTTAGAAAAATGGGAACAAGATGAGCAAGCAGCGCTTATTCTAATCAAGGTCATTTCTGATGCTTCCTATTTCTGGATTTCTCATTCAATATGTCTCTTGCTTGCTATGAGTCATTAAAACTTAGCGTTTTTCATTTTATGCAGGGATCTGGGCGTGCCTTTTCTGCTGGTGGGGATTTAAAAATGTTCTATGAGGGAAGGACATCAAGTAAATACTCTATCCTGATATTGAACTTTTGCATATATTCTATTCTGTTTTAAATTCTATTACTTCCACCGCAACACCAATATTTATGACTGTGCTCAGATGCGTGCAAATCAATATGAACTTTAACTTGTAACTTGTAATGAATTATTCTTCTGGCAGAGGATTCTTGCCTTGAGGTGGTCTATCGAATGTATTGGCTTTGCTATCACATTCATACCTATAAAAAAACCCAGGTTCATTTTTTTCCACACTGTATTGTCATACCATTGCACAAGGAATTCACTGAATGTGGGATCTGCATCACTGAGGAATGTACCAATCAACTGTTTATATGATTGACAGGTTGCTCTTGTTCAAGGAATTTCAATGGGAGGTGGTGCATCGTTGATGGTCCCAATGAAGTTCTCTGTTGTAACGGAAAAAACTGTGCGTATCTAGTCGTCACCTTGATATTTCCATACATAAATCAATGCTTTCAACTTTACTTTTCTTTTCTTTTTTTTCTTTTATTCTTCAAGGGCAGGGGTTTATAAGAGTCTTGATATATGTTACTGCATTGACATTGTAAATCTCCTTTCCGGTGTGCTTTTTGAATATTTGTACTTAGGTCTTTGCAACACCAGAAGCAAGTATTGGTTTTCATGTGGACTGTGGTTTCTCATACATGCTTTCCCATCTCCCTGGGCATTTGGGTAAGCACAACTTGGCATAAAGATACTGACATCTATAAATGAGAAAATTTAATGTGTCTGAACTTTGGTGTTTCTTCTTCTTCCAAAAAGGAGAAGTATCTGACATTTTTTGGAATCACCTTTCCTGATTTCCTCAGGGAGGAATTTGATTATTTTATTTATGAAAAATGAAGTTTGTTTTTGTTTCTTTTGGAATCCAATTAAGACTATTTGGTCATTCGTGCAGGGGAATATTTAGCTTTAACAGGTGCTAGGCTAAATGGCAAGGAATTGGTTGCAGCTGGACTAGCAACCCATTTTGTCCCCTTTGAGGTGAGTGTAAATTGTATTTGGTTATAATGCTTTCTTTCCTGTAAACGTGTTTTGGAGTAAGTGTATAAGACATTTTGTGCACATGGTAATTAAAATGCATATGGTTATCGGTTTGTACCAATAAAAAAATGGAAGGTTCCTCATGTTATACTTGGTATGAACACATTTTTTTCTCATTACGTCCCTGTCTATTTAGCTGAGGTATGATGTATAATATAAAACATATTTTTATTAAGCTATGTATATATAGTGATACGTTAATCAATGGATTATCATAATTGTGAACTGGAATGGAGTGTTTTTCTATAAACAAGTTTCCTTCTGTGTATTTGGCTAGAAGTTGATTGCTTCTTACTGCTTTGGCGATTCAAGGAGGAAGGTATAAGGAAAAATATGCAATTCACAATGCAAAAATCTATTCTTGTTCAGATTGTTTTCAAGGGAATATATAATGGACTTATTTTGTGTACCACTATGGTTATGTAATAGCTATGAGATTGATTGTGCATGGAAGCAATTAGGTATGAAGTTCTTCATCTCCTGTCAAATTCACAACCCAATCAAATCTGAACTCAAGCCTGTTTCAAGAAATTTGATTTCTCAATTTAATCTACTCCCACGGATCACATGACATCTGTTCTCATCATATTTTGATCCATTTTCTTTTGGTCCTTCTGCTGGCGCTGGCTATGATGATTGACCTAACATTTCTCTTTATATCCTATTATTAGCATTCACTTTTGGAACAAGTTTTGTGAAGAAGTAATAGCTTAGGACGATTGAATGTTTGGGGTTCACTTCAAACAAAACATAAGCTCCATTTTCTTTTAATTGCAAGAAGTATCATACATTTTTCAGTTTGTAGGGCAGAGTGCCTCGGGTCGGAGGCTGCTTCCCAACTTTGTTCTGATGAAAAATTAAACACTATATGAAATCAGTTAACTATGCTGAAATTGGTAAAGTTTTGACTATTGAGGACATATGAAAGGAACAATAATCTACTAACAAATTCGTTATTGAACTTTCTTGATGAACTTCATTTTCACTCTCTATTATATGCCTCATTAATTTCAGTACCACAAAGATTTGACTTAAATTTGAGTTTTTCATCTTTTAGCATAGTTTATCTATGGACTGAAATTAATGAGGTGCTGTAAGTGCAATGAAGCAATTTGATGCTTTTGTATCATCAATTTGTTTATATATTCTTTCTTACATTTGAGTAATGTTGAACAATAACATATTAATTTCTATTGTAATCAGAGACTGCCTGAGCTAGAGAAGCGTCTGATTAGCTTGAACTCTGGTGATGAGAATGCAGTCAAAGCTACAATTGAGGAATTTTCTTTGCACGTGCAGCTCGATGAAGACAGTGTTTTAAACAAGTAAGGATATGTGTGTCTGCTAGAATATGAATTAGGATAGGACCAGTGACTTCAGCATTTGTGAAACCTGATAGTTTTTATTACTTTCAGGAAGCCGATAATTGATGAGTGTTTCTCAAAGGATTCTGTTGCAGACATTATAAAATCATTTGTAAGTTCTTTGTCTTTCTTCCTTTAATCTTTCACATAGAAAATATATATTACAGTTTCAATTGGCAAAATTCCTCATAATATTCTGTAGCCCCTTGTATTTAATTCACATAATTCTCTTGGTTTGAATGTACTCTAACAGGAAGTGGAAGCTAGTAAAGAGGGAAATAGGTGGATTGGTCCTGTACTGAAAGGGTTGAAAAGATCATCGCCAATAGGATTGAAAATAACGTTGAGATCGGTAAAAGTTTTTTGCTTTATTGCACCATTCATTCATATGTTCCACCGTTTGCAGAAATTGGCATATATTTATAAGCATTGGTAGAGATTTAAATTAAACTTTTGTAGAGGATTGAGGCTTGTGCTTCTAGTGCCAGCAACTCAAGTTAAATTCATTCTATGCTACATGTCTGAATTATGTTCATCACTTTTTCTACTAACAATATGTTGTCTAATCTTGACTTTTTTGCATAAAAGCATATATCTTTTATGTTAAAATTGATGCATTGTCTTAATCTTGAACATGAGATCAGTGATTTCATCAAAATCTTTCTGATGTCTATACACAAGAGTGTATGTGCTGTCTTTCCAAGTGGTAAAACTACTAGGTACTGCTTCAAGAATTTTTAAAGCCTGGTGTTTTAGCTTTACAAGGTAACATTTAATCTGTATGTTGCAATATTTGTGCTAGAAAGAAGGTAAAGCACTCAACTCGTCTATTAAATCTATAGGTGCTGCAAGAGTAGTCCATTTCGTAGGATAACTTTTCTGTGTTATTTTCCTTTTTTATTAAACTTTCTTTGGTTTTTCCCTTATGCATTGAATAGCAAGTAGCAACTCACTTGATAAGACACGGTGCTGAACCTTTACCTCTTGCTTTGTATAACTATGGAATTGGTATCAACTTAACAAAAAACAACTAGATGATTGGTTTTGTCCCAAATGGTAGTTAATTACTGGGTTTTATGCATGTCTCATTAGTTATTGGGTTCATATTTCCAGATTCATGAAGGAAGAAAGCAAACACTGCCTGAATGTCTGAAGAAAGAATTTCGACTAACCATGAATATTTTGAGGACCACAATATCTGAAGATGTATACGAGGTAATTGTTTTGAGTTTAACCACTTATGAAAACTTTTAATGGAAGAACCCTAATTTTAAGGAAAATGAGTTCCTTCTAACTTCCTGAATGGGTTTTCTTCTGTTTTTTTGAAAAAGGGTATTAGAGCTCTCACCATTGACAAGGATAATGCTCCTAAGGTACTTCTTTTTACCGCATCTTTATGTGTATCTTTGCATGTGTTTGTCTATCCATGTCAGCCTGGATGCTTGGTGAAATAACTTGTGAGATTTTTTGGTTGCTTGCTAAAATTTGAAGTTGGGAAGAATTTGTAAATCAATTATTATCACTGGATGAATTTTTCAAACCTCTAAAGTAGGTAAATTTTTCGGGAAGTGGTTTGCATTTAGCATGTCATTTTTATCACTTCTCCCATGTCAAACTACTGCAGTGGAATCCACCAGTTCTTGACCAAGTGGATGATAAAAAGGTAGACCAAGTATTTCAGCCATTTAAAGAGGATTTAGAGCTCAAAATTCCAGAACAGGAACAGTGCAGGTAGGTGTGACTTTGGGGCCTTGAGCACTCTTATGTCATATAATAGTATAAGGAGAGCTAAAATGGCTGATCTTTTATTTCTTTGTCTTTTGTTGAATTATCCAAACCAAATTATAGGTGGGATGGAAAATATGAGGACTCGCCATATGCAAACTGAAAGGATGACGGAGGATGTATGAAGCACAATAAAAATTTATGGTCAGGAGCTGCTTCTTTCCTGAAAATCCTCCATGCAAGAAATTATATCACTTTATAGTAGCTTGTATTATCCATCTACTGGTTGATTTTGTGTGTTTCACTAACGAATCTTTGAATAAAGGTAATTATTTACTAAAAATTCACACGCGTGTCAGTCTGTTAGATGATATGGTAAAATTTAGACTGTTCCATGTTTTTGTATAATGAATGAGTTGGGGTAAAGTTATATAGCTAGTTAGGTCATAACAAGATTGTTACAAAGGAAAGACCATGCAATGCTTGAAGTTTAATAATTCATTCTTGGCTTTTATCCATCAGAGTTCTCTATATGATAGGTTCCTTTGTACTTGATAATCAAGAGAATCACATTGCTGATATTGCCAATGTTCTGAAAAGTAAAAAGCAATTGGTGAGATGCGAAGAAGTTGTTGGTGTCCAAGAAGAATGGTCTCTATACATTAAGCTTATCTGGTACTATTTTTTTTTTTTTAATCATTTGGAGAAGTAGATTGAAACTCAATTGTTCTGAGTAACTAAATACAAGCAATTATTAAAAAAAAAAAAAAATCAAATGTTGGGGTACATTTATCTACTTTTAGAACTGGAACTGATTCTTTAAAGTAGCAATCGCAACTATTGAAAAACGGCCATTTTGTGGTGAATCTCTTGAAGAACTAATTTTGCTAATCCAATGTGTGATCAAAAGATGAATTAATATGAATTCGAGATTTAATTTAATTTGTTTTAAGAGATATATCTAATAAATTTGAAATTTAAATTTTAAAATTTATAAATTTTTAAAAATTTTATATTACAAATTTTTTGTAAAAAGAAATAAATTAATATTCAATAACATATGTTGAGCAAAGAATTTAAACCGAACGATTTATATATTTGTATTATATAAAATATTAAAATTTATATATTTATATTTTATTTTTAAAAAAAAATTATATATCGTATTGATACAAAAATATAATAATTAATTTTTTTGATTAAATTATATAATTATTATTATAATTTTAAATTATTTTATTTTTATATTATATTTTAAATTATCAAATTTAATAAATTAGATAGTCAGATCTTGTTTTATAAAAATGTATATAGGATAATTTTAGCAACAAAATTATCGTGTAATAACAATTTTACCGTGTAGTGAAAATTCCACTAGTCGTTGAAGGGGGTTAGTCAACGTGGGTTAGGTGGGTTAAGTTTGAACAGCTAACACCTTTTTTGTTTTTAAGTATATATTTTGGAGGCCGTGGCGAGAGTGGTGGTATGTCCCCCACCCCCAGCCGTAGTGCACGGTCCTCGGCAATTCTTGCTCCTCTCTCGGAGTTGGCTCATCACGACTCTGAAAGTTACTTGTCGAGTCTACTTCAATTAAACCGTAGTATTTCTGGTGTTTTATCAAATGCGCCGAAACTGTTCCCACACAGAAGAATAATGCTTGTACTTTTGCTTCTCATAAACCCAGCCAAAGCATATTGTATAAGTGGCAATGTAAAGGAAACTTCTTTTTGGACCTCAATAATTGCTTATACATACAATTTTTTTATTATTAAAATACTTCTAAATAAAATTATTTAATTAACTTTTATTAAATTACGCTTCAACCCTTCTATACACCCATTTTTTTCTCTTTTTTATTCTTCTTCTTTTCTTCATCTTCGTCACAAACTCCAAACCATTAAAATTACTGTTATTATCTTATTTATTGGGAAAATGCATATTCAGAACATAAAAAAAAAAAAGAAAATTTTGCACTTCTACAGGCTTTCGGATTTATATTTTCAAGAATTTTTAAAAGTTTTTAGATGTATATTTTGAAAAGTTCTAAAAATTTTCAGAATGTAAATTTGAAAGCTTGCAAAGTCATATGAAAATGCATTTCATAAATTATATTTTTACATAAAAAAATTAATATAGTTTACGATATTCAATTCCGTTCAATTACAAAAAAATTAAAAATTTCTCTATGTTTGAAATAGTTATTTAAAATCGCTAATTTCTTTTGAAAATTGAGATTATTAGTGTTGGTTCAATTAAGAATCGAATGAAAAAAGAAAATTAATTTAAAGTTTGGGAATAAAAGAATAAAGATAAAAAATGAATTATAAATTTAGTGATGAGAAGTGTAAAAAAATAAAAATAATTTTGTTGAATATGAATTTAGGACATAAAAAGCAAATTTTGGAGTGCAAATAAAAGCCCTCAATGTATATTATAAGGGGTTGGGGTGACAATTTTAGCCCTTGACCTCCCATAGTCCCATGCAAGCTTCAAAATTTAGCAGTCCATGGACCATGGATGCCCAATTTGGACATATTCTCCATGGCAAAGCTGATTCTCTCCCTTCCCCTTTTCTTGCCTAATGTCCCCACTTCCACTATAGTTGGTTGATGTGGTCCTAAAGTGTTCCCATTCAAGTGATAGTGTCAGCTTTTAGGATTAAAAAAAAAAAAGAAATAGTATAATTACATACAATTTATTCAATATTTACATAATAAAAAGGGTAGATTAAAAAAAGTAAGTGTATGTTTTTTTTTTTTGTTAAATGGAGGAGTTCAAAATTCTCATTTTCTTTTAATCCCTGTATATTTTATCATTACTTAAATCAGGCAAAAAATGATTTTTCAACTAAATTATTAAAAAAATAAATTATTTATTTTTTTAGTAAAAAAAATCTATAATAGATAAGTTATTTAGTTCTTTAAGTCAAGATAATATCTGTTATACTTGATAATCTAAAACAGTTGACTGTTAATCATACATTTAAGATGATTCCAACAAATGATTACTGACAAAACTCGAATTTAATATTTTCTTATTAAAAATAATAAACTTTAATAAATTAAATCAATTACTTATTGATAAATAAATAAATTATATTTACTTTATTAAGAACCCTTCACTGCCATATAGAATTCTCAATTTATAATTTTTAAAATAAAATAAAAATATTCACAATAAATTTTTGAGAGATTCAGGTGTCATGTTTATCAAATAAAAATAATCTATTTAAAATTTATGTATTAGTTGATCGATTATTTATATTTGAAATTAATTTATAATTAAAATTATTAATTCAAAAATCACAAATTATTTTTTAATAATATATGTTTTTTATTGTCAATTTGTTTCCTAAAATTTAGGTATTATAACGGTAAATAAATTTAATTAAATTGGTTTTAGGTTAGGTTGCCAATTTTAAATGCCACCGCACTAGCAAAGCACGAGCGCAAGTGCGGGCTTTGTAGCAGCCTCGGCCTCAGCCAACGCTTTTGGTTGGTCAGTCTTTGAGAGAACCAACAACCGAGGTATTGGTGGGATCCACCCATACTACACCCAAAATTAAACTACACTAAATTTTTTTTTTTTCTTTTTCCCAACATTTAACAAAAAGAAAATAAAAGTACTCTACCTAATGCACACATGCTTGCTTACTTTTGTTAGAGAATAATGTACATATTTTATCTTAAACAAAAAATAAAAGAAAAGTTCGTTTCTTTCTATTTAATCAAAATAAATTTAAATAATTTATGTATATATATTATATTAATTTTATATTAAATTATATAAAATATGAAAATTATTATATTATAAATTATTTATAATTTTTATGTTATGTTAAATTATTAAATTAAAATTTTTTTATTGATTTGAAGAAGAAAAGGAAAATATTTCAATTTAGTTATTAGTTGGAAGATATTATTGCAAATAAAATAATACAGCACTGGCTCTATTACTCTCCGTCAACGATTTTCTCTTTTGTCCATTTCAGGTTTTTGTTCTTCTTTGTCAACAGTTTTTCGCATCCTCTTCTTTTCATCTCTCTCACCCTTTCCTTAAAGTATGGGCTCTGTTCTTTTTTTTTCTTCCTCAACTTTATTGCTTTCATTTTCTATTCATATACTAGCTCTGACTTCCTACGACTAACCGTTTACTATCATTCTCTCATTTTTTTCTTGTTTTCCCACTTTTTTTTTGGGGGTTTTTAAAGAGGGAAACTCACTCTCTTTCTCTTTTTGTCTCTCTCAAAACTGTATTTTTTTTGCCTTTTTTATGAGAGTCTCTCTCTAGGGTCTTCTTTTTTTTGTAGTTAGGGTTTGGGTTTTCAGGGTAGGGTGGGTTGTGAATTTTTGGGGGGCAGTTATGGTGAGGAAACATGGATGGCAACTACCTGCTCACACCTTTCAGGTGATGGACCTTTTTATTTCTTATGCACCAAAGATGTTTCAAATTTTCTTTTTTATCCATATTTTCTATCTGGGTTTTGTTTCTTAGGTTTTTATTGCTTAATTTTATGAGAATTGCTTCCAATTTAATTTTTTTCCTCCAATTTAGTGGCAACATGTACTGCTGAAAATATTTATTTATTATGTTTTAGTTTGTTGAAATAGCACTGCCTTTCTTCTACTCGCTGGGTTAGCATGGCTCATTGCATGTTTTCTGGTGTATTTCTGTCTTAGCTCGGAGTAGTTTTTAATTAATGGATTGATATTGCGGGGGTTCGATTTTTATGAATTAATTCTGGGTTCTTGTAATTCAGTAGGGTAGCTTTGGATTTTAGAAATGTTCTATTTGATAATTGTATGGATGGGGAAAAGATAAAAACTACTCTCATTGTATATTTATATGGAAACATGCTGGGTTCCACAGTTCTGGCTTGTTCTTTAGAATTGCTTGTGGTCTTGAACTAGAGAATCGTACTTAAGAAAAGGGGGAAGAGAAAAGGTTGGTGCTAGCCAGAGAGCAGTATTACCTGTATTTTCAGTACGATTGTCAAGGTGTGTGCTATATGAATGGTTGATCTGTCTGGGGGTGTTTAGAAGGCTTCATTGTTTGCTCACAGTGGCTTATTAAGAATATTATCTTTAAGTGGATTGTGGATAGACTAAAATGAGGTTGGACTCACAAATGGTTCCCAACCTAGTCTCGCTTCTGGCCGCAGCTTTCAACCTGAAAAGAGCCCACCTCTATATGTTACCTTGACGAAAGGGGCCATTTCTGATTTAGGCATACTTCAATTTAATGTGTTAGGAAACTTGAGGAGTGGACCCTCTATCCAACACCTGGAGCATGATTGTTGGGGTATCCCCATTTTGAAGAGTTGGATCTGTCTTGAAGTTCTTTAGTAGTTTTCTTGAAGTTCTTTAGTAGTTTTCCCTGCCGTCCTACGGTGGCTTATTGTGAATATTACCTCTAAGCCTAATCAGGAAGGATGAAAATGAGGTTCAATCCATGTCTTATTCTCAAACTAGTCCCACTTTTTGCCAGTTTCTTTCAACTTGTACCACATTTTCCTCCAAGACACTTTCTGATTCTCTGATTTTGGCACACATCAATAGTTTTACCCAACCACCCTGATGGCAGGGGAAGAAGAAGACAAACCAAGGCACATGTTAGGTAAACCAAGGGTCAGCATTCAAGAGGTTCAGAGGTAGGCATGTTTCTCAGTTTTAAAATAGGTGACTGTTGGAGGGAGGCTTCATGAGTATATAATATCCTTTGAATGATGTCAACTCTTTGTCTGATCCTAATCAGTGGGTCTGACCAGTACTATTCTTGATGACTAACATGCTTCTAGGTTGAATTCATTCATTTGGGTTTTCAACTTTGTTATCTGATTTATTCGCTAGTTGAGGGATCAAGCCTAAATTTCCAAGAGAGGTCAGTCTCTTCTTAAGAGGAACCTCACTTGAGAACAGTAATAGACTAAATCTGATATCAGGAAAGGCCAAGAAGGCATTGGTTTGAGAAGATATCCATACTCTAACTTTCATTAAGCATTCAAATATTTAGAGTGTTGTATTTTGAAATTATCTAGTGAAACTTTTTAGGATAAAGGTGTTAAATAGGTTCTGCTTTATAATGAATTGTAATTTTAAATATCATTCCAACTAAAACTTAGGCTAGTGATCTCCTCCCTCAAACCTCTCCCCCCTCCCCCCCCTCGTTGTTTCTTTTTTCCTCCCTTCTTTAAGGAGAATGAATCAAGTAACATTTCCACCTATAGAAGCTGGAAATGGTAAAACTATTTCATTTTCATGCAGCGCTGTCAATTTCATTTCTGTGACATTCTGTGTTGCAGTAACATGTAAATGGTACCTATCAGTTAGGCATGTTAATTTTAAATTTTTACATTTCAGACAAGCTATCTGTTTGATGACTTATCCTTTATAAATTCAGTGATAACTCTTTTGGATTACTTATTATTATCTTTCCTTGAAGTTGATCTTAACTTCTTGTTTTGATAGGTTGTTGCAATTACTGTGTTCTGCTTATTAGTGGTTGCATTTTATGCTTTCTTTGCTCCTTTCCTTGGAGGGCGCATCTGGGAATATGCTCTGGTTGCAACTTACTCACTGGTGGTATGTGAATTGATTTGTTTTCATTATGTTAGGACTACAAAAAAAATCCTTTATTCCTTACATTTTTGCATGAAAATTTTAAATGGATTACAAATTCAGAAATTTTTAGGGGCCTGCTACTATGTCTCAATGGAGTATGAATCATGCCAATATTTTTGATCCATGTTAAGATATAAGTTACTGCAATGAAGACTATATGGTGCTTGGCCTGCCTGCAAATAATTTTTGGTGCAAAAAAAAAGTGATTTCATTTTTCATTCTGCATAAAGCAGTTTACAAACATAACCATTGAATCTTATGTCACTACCATTATTCTTGTGATGGTAATGCAGGTATTCCTTGTTTTTATTCTTTATGTTCGGTCTACTGCAATTAACCCTGCTGATCCTGGCATCATGTCAAAATTTAATGGTGGAACAAACAATTTTGATAGAAAGCATGGGTTATCAGTGAAGGATTTACCCAGAAAATTTGATGAATTTGGCAGTGGGTTGCATTCATCCCCTTCAACTGTTTCCAGAAGTTCCATAGGAGCAGCAAACTCAAGTAAGAAAGGTTCAGTGGGAGATACTGGAACAGTAGTTGCTCCAGCACAGTCCGGAACCAGGAAATCTTGTTGCATTGGAGGAATCTTTTGTGCCATATTTGTTCATGAAGATTGTCGCAAGCAAGAAGGGGCTGCTGAGCAAGGCAGTGAAGATGCTTTGTTCTGCACATTATGCAATGCTGAGGTATTTTGGAACCAATTTTGACATTCTTTTCTATTATATTAGACCAGCTTTTTAATTTTCTTCATTTCTAGTAATTTTTCTCTCCTTGGTGTCCTTAACATTCTTTCCCCCCAATAAATTTGGAAACTTGCTTTTATCTTGTTCTTAATGCAATTATGGGGTAGGGGAAATTGTAAATTTAATAAAGCTTCAAAGCTGAAACAGGTGATAGTAATTGTTGCGTCCTTTTAATGGCACAATGGATGTGTGCTAAACTAGGAAGCATGGACACGGCATTCATCCTCCCGTACCGGGGTCATACCTGTTTGACATGGACATGCTGCCAACATGTTGGAATATACACAGCAAAAAAATAAAAAGCAAGTTGGGCACGGTTCCGACACGGTTGGGCATGAGTTAGGCGGGGAATATGGTGAAAAAATGAGATGAAGGCCACAGTTCTTTTTTAGATCTAGGCTTTTCTAATGGTTTTTTTTTTTTTTTTTTTTGTGGAAAATCTAGATTGATAGAAAGAAAGAAGAGGCTGAGAGGAGTTTTCTGGTTTTGGAGGAATTTTGACATCGGTGATGGTGGCCGAGGATGGCGGTCGGCGACTAGAAACTAGGTAAAGGGCAATGGTATGAGACTGTGTTTAGAGAGGGAAGGAAATTTTTTAGAGATAGAGAAACTGTAGGGAGAGAAAGTGAGAGGAAAATGAAGGAAAAAAAAAACTTCCATGCCATGTCAGCAATCTGTGTGCTTTAATATTATTCGGTGTGTGAGTCCTAAGCTTTTTCTTTCCAGATACACCTCTCTCTTTTGTTTGTTTTGTGCTTTCTCCTTTCCCAGGTTAGGCATTGGGTTAAATAACAAAATTCCTGTCCCCATCCCTATAAATAATTGAGATTTAATGGGCAGTTTCCCACCCAATCTAAGCCCAATCCATTTGCTTAAATGATTGCACTGCCTGCTTATACTATAAAAAATATTGTTATTTGTTTAAGCCCAAATGTTAGAATCTTTTGATTATGACTAAATTAATGACAAGAAATAGAATAAAAATTTTCTATTAATATTTTTTCTATTTCATAGTTTATCTAAAATATTCAATGGGCTGTTTATTATATATTTTGTGCAATGACAAGAGAATTTTGTGAAAATTTAATTAGAAATTAATAAAAAGTATTAATATTTACATTTATATCAAATATTTTTTAAAAAAATATTTAAAAATATTTTTTATTGTTGTGTCCTGCTGTACTTGTGCCCCTATTTTTTAAAAATTGTCATGTCACCGTTGTCCATGGCATGATGTACCTTATTGCGTGTTTATATCCGTGCTTCCTAAGTGCTAAGATATCTATTACTTCGATATCCGATAAAGCCTACAAAAATTCAAGGGAAATAAAGAAAAAAATAAAAATTTATTTTGGGTGTCAAGTTTGTGAAAGTCACATTCTCAAAATAACTTGAGAAGTCTATGGTTCACCTTACTAGGCTCTTGATCATCTTTTATTAGGTTCATCTCCCTTTCACTAGTTTCAAATATTTCTTTAATCACTATTCACATATGTAGTTCACACAATTTATGGTTGGCTCCTACACATGTGAATGGTGATGATGGATGTATCAGAAAGTTATTTACAAAAAAGTTATTTAGGGGATCTCAATCCCTTTCTCTTACAAGATAAAACTATGAAATCTTAATAGCATTTATATCTTTAATTCTAGATGTGCATGTTAACTGAAATTAAAATGAAACAGGACTTAAAGAAATTTATTTATAAATTCTAATAGTTTCTCCTACATCAAATTTTCTCAGCTTGGTAATATTCTTAGTCAGAATTAATCCGAGATCAAATAAGGGGAAAAGTAAACTACTTTTTCATTAGCATGTTAGTGGTTAGTTTTCTCATACTTATTTAAAATATCCTTCCCCATCACTTCGTGCTGCCTCAGTTGCATTCGCGATAGATGATGTGTATTTGTCCTGCCAGCAGCGCCATTAGTCCACTACTCTACTATATTTATTCACTACTCCCAGGATTTCCATATGACATGCTTAGCACGAATCTTATCAACCACTACAAATCCGTGTAACTACAGGCTATTACTTGTGTTCTTTTTTAATGCTACTGCCTGATGAATTATAAGGCAACAGTGACGAGTAAAGCAGATTGCAGAAAATTTAACACCTTAAACCAAATTTATATATACCAACAATTAAAATGAATACAATATATGGGAATAATATTGGGTTTTTTAGAGACTCAGTTTTTGTTCTTTTACATTGATTAGAATCTCTGGTTGCTGTTTAACTAATATGTAATCCTTTTAGGCTGGATAAACATTTTTTTATATGATCTAGTCTTAAAGGGAGCACTTGAATAGTATATCCAAAATTTTTGCTGATATGAAAGGTTGGTAATTGTGTAGGACACAAAAATGTTTAGTAAACATTGTGCAGGTGTTGGCAATTTTGTTCTTTCTCACTTATGAATGATTTCAATGGTGCAGGTGCGCAAGTTTAGTAAACATTGTAGAAGTTGTGATAAATGTGTAGATGGTTTTGATCATCACTGCCGGGTAAATATTTTCATGTTGCTTCTAGTGTTCTTTACAGTCATTTGTGCAAGAATATCTTTCAACTTGTTTGGTATTGGCATAATCCGTTTATTTGTTTGTGGAAATTAATCTCCATATCATATGTGGCTGCAGTGGCTAAACAATTGTGTAGGACACAAAAATTATGTCACATTCATCTCTCTCATGGCCATCAGTGTTGTTTGGGTATGTTTTTTGGTCTATTGTTTGTTATTTAAAAATCATACTTCCCAAATTCTGATGATGCTTCTCGCCCTCTCTCCCCATGGTTCAGCTAGTTATGGAAGCTGGTGTTGGTATTGCTGTCCTAGTTCGTTGCTTTGTTAACAAGAAGGACATGGAGACTGAGATTATTGATAGGCTTGGAAATGGTTTTTCTCGTGCTCCATTTGCAACAGTTGTGGTACATCCCTGACCAAATGCTGTGAAGCTGATGTGTAACTTTGTGATTATATATTATCATAAGTACTTAAGTTGGATCCAAAAATTTTGTAGGCTGTATGTACTGCAGTTTCTATCCTTGCTTGTGTGCCTCTGGGTGAACTTGTCTTCTTCCACATGATACTTATCCGAAAGGTTAGTTGCCAATAAATTAAGCATTATTTATTATGGTGCTCTAGTTTCTGATTACAAGATGACAAAATTTGAAGAGATTCAGATTTATAGTTAGGGTTGCAGTAGTTTTTAAATTTCCTACCTTTCAGTAACTGGATATAATGGAAAAGGTAAATAGAGTTGACTTATAGAGCAGGCACTAAGGCAATATCTATAGCAACCCTTTTGACTTTTATGTGGAATCAGGGTATTACAACCTATGAATATGTTGTGGCTATGAGAGCAATAAGTGAAGCACCTGCTGGAGCATCGGCGGATGAGGAACTGCAGAATGTGATGTATTCTCCAACTGGGTCAGCTACAACTGGCATGAGTGGTGGAAGTTCTCTTGGCCTGCAGTACAAGGGAGCATGGTGTACCCCTCCTAGAGTTTTTGTGGACTATCAGGTACTAATATTTAAAAGTCTTCTTTATTCATTTTGTTTGTATGGAACTGTGAGTTATCCAATCTAAGATTATGGAACATGCTTCAAAAACAGATCCTTTACTGAAATTTGAAATATTTTAGACTTTGAGTATTTATGAGTTGAAGGCTAGGTTATTTGGCCCTGCTGAGCAGTATATAAGAATGCATATGAAATTATAGAAAGAAAGAAATTTCAAATGAAGTCAGCTCTCATATGCTGAGGTGGCTACTCCCTTTAACATTAAACTTCTGTTAAGATCTTCCTAGAAGTAGAAAGAAAATCTCTTATCATGCCTGAGTTTCTTTTTCTATTCATTAGGATTTTCTTTTAGGAAAAAGATTAAATTCTTCATGCTTCAATTATCAGCTTCCCCCTCTCTCTAGGTACTTGTTTCAAATTTTTACAGGAGTTTCTTATTATTTTCATGATAATGTTTTGAACCCGTTCTTGGGAGCATAATATGATGCACATGAGAATTTTGTGTCTTAGCTTCATATGGAATATAATGGCTGGCTTGAAGTGTCTTTATCAACATATCTATCACTTCTAAATGCTCTTGCCTACCTTGCATTACCTTAAGGTTTTATTTTTTGATGGTGTAAGTAGAGAGGGAACAAATGGGAGTAACAGAGCCTCACTCTTTTTTCCTTTCATTTATTACTTCCCCTACTCCCCTAAGTACATTTTCATGAATGCTTTATCAAACACCTTTTTTTTTTTTTTTTTTTTTGTGATCATTAAATCGTTTGGGAGCCCTACCAAAAAATCATGGAGGATGATCAAACTTAGTTACCTTCCTTCCTCCCCTGCCTCTCCCATTTCCCTTAGTTCCCTTCAATGGCTAGGATAGCCTCGATTATTACACACCTATAATCCTTTTGATTTATTTTTCAACCGCTATAATCTTAATCTCCTTACAGGTGTCAAGTGTTCACTTCCATATTTTAATCGCCAATAGTATTACATGTATTCAAAATTTTAACTAAGGTTCATTCCATTTTCTTGTCTTATGAATGGAATTGCATTGCCCCCAATAAGTTTATCTATCAACTCAACCTTAAATTCTAATTATTCTTCCATACTACAAGGAAGGTTCATTAGCACTGAAGTTAGAAATAGTTTGTTTAAATTTGTTCATTTGTATGACAATTTCTTTCCATCACTTTTCACGACAATTAATTTGAACCTACCTTTGTGGAAGTAGATTAATCCTAAGTCTCTGGTTTGACTCCAGGACTTGGGTCAACTTTTGCATCTATGTTCTACAAATGATGTATATGATGACTTAAAACTTCTGTTGGGTATGAGTGCATCAGGATGAAGTTGTGCCTCATTTGGAGCCTGGAATGGTTCCATCTACTGTTGATCCGGATGCAGCTGGTTTTGCAGAAAGGGGAAACAAGGGACCCAAAAGAGCTGTTCGTATTAGTGCGTGGAAGCTTGCAAAGTTAGATTCTAGTGATGCCATGAGGGCAGCGGCCAGAGCAAGAGCATCTTCATCTGTTCTACGGCCTGTTGACAACCATCGTTTAGCTGATCCTGAACTTAGTTCCAGTGGCAACATGAGCGATAGAAGTAGTGTTAGCACTGATACAGGTGCAAATAAAGAGATAAAGAATGACCAGAGATTATCGCCTTTAGGAAACTCTTTTGCTCAAAGTCAAGGTAGCCGTGACGAGTATGAAACAGGAACTCAAAGTGTAAGTAGCTTCAGCAGTCCAAGCCACATTCATGAATCAGTAACACTTAGTCCACTACCTCAAACTCAAGGGGGTCATTTGAGTACAGCTACCTCAGTTCCTGGCATTCCTGATCGTACCTTTATGTCTAAGGGATCTTTTCCTGCTATCAACAATCCCATCAAACATGTCTCATCAGGATCTGATGAAAAGGTAATGCATAAGGGTGGCATTAGTGATCCATTGTTGCTTTCAGCTCCGGCTGCTTCCCTTCTTAGAGATGTCAAAAGAACGTCTGTTGTCTGGGATCAAGAGGCTGGTAGGTATGTATCAGTCCCTGTCTCTGCAACAGAAGCTCGGAACAGATCATCCATGCAAATAGGTTTGCCGAATTCAAGTGGAGAAACTAGCACGCAAGGTAGAAGGGTGGTTTTTCCACCACAGGAGTCTTCTTTGGCTGCAAAGGCTCCAGTGCAACAGGCAGAGAAGCTATTGTATACAGGAGACTCTATTTTCTTTGGTGGCCCACTTTTGAGTGTTCCGGTTAGAGATAGTTTGAGAAATGATAAGGGTTTGGGTTCAAGGGAGGTTCAAGAAAGAGTGGCTCTGAAGTTGCCTCGAGACTCTAGATTCAAAAGGGATTCGGTCTCAAACCAACTTCCTGTGTTTGTCCCTGGAGGTTTTGAAAACAACTCTGCATCTGTTTCTGGTTTAAAGTAGATATCAGTTTAACTCCTAACAAAGTTTCTCACAATTTTTCCTCAAATCATCAAGATCAATGATGAAAGATAATTATTTTGCATGGTTCAAGTGGTCTCTTCTCAAATGAATTATTTGATTCGACACTCCGGCTTGTGGTGAAATTTGTAAAGTGAAATGATGTCATGAGGTGAGTCTCTCTCCTCTCTCTCTTTGTTGAAACTGGCTAAAGGTGTTTCTAAATTCCAATTACTTGTTAGCTTTTTTCTTTTAACCAAGCTTTATTGGTGGTTTATGAATAATTTATCTGTCAAACTTTAGTTTACTCTGTTTATGTCGCCCTACTGGGATTTGTTAGTTTTAATGCTAAGTTGAGCACCTTGATTTAGGGTAGTACAAATTTTGATTGACTCTGAGTATGCTAATTACTGAAATGTAGTTGGTTCCAACCCTTCCTACTTCTACACAGCCCATTAGATGTATAGGATTATAATCCTTTGCTTTGAATAAAGTACTCTAAAGGAAAGGAAATTTTTAATTCCAAGGTTTAATTTGGTTCATGTAATTATCCGTAAGAGGTGGCATTTATAGAGTTTAAATCCTGGCACTTTGTAGTTTAAAAAAAAGAAACTTAAATAATAGGAGGATTTAGGCTTTTCTGATTTCCATATGCAGTTCATCCTGTAAATCAAGCTCATATAAAATGATTTCCATGTAAATAATGATTGTTTAATTGACTTTGTTTGTTAGCTTGAATTTTGAAAATAAATTGAAAGATTTGAGGGAAAGTGGCAGAAGCGTATGAAAATGAAGAACTCTTTGCCCCTGAAATGTAAAATGATTAGTTCCGGAAAAGCTCAAAAACTTGAATGTCCATTTTGGTTATTGGATTTTGTAATGTCTCTTAAAACATAATTTTCAAAATTATGGCTAATTGTTGGAAACGTTGTCATGTAACAATTGAGGCATTTTCCAATGCTTCTTTTCACTTAGCAGAGGTAGTCATGGTTTTGTGGCACTCAAAACTATACGTCCACAAAGCCTATTTCTGAAGGGAGACAATATCCTACAACTGGGTTTTGTGGGCACTCCTCTTCAACCACATCGAGAGAGCTTAAGCAGGTAGTGGTAGATCCGTTGTTAGCAGCTAATGTTAGAATGCATTTTTAAAAGATATTTTTTTTTTACAAAACAAAAACAAAATCAAAATTTAAGAAAACTTAGAGAAGGAGAATTTGAAAATATTAAGAATCAGAATCCCAATCTTTCAGATATATACCTTAAAAAAAGTGATCAAGTTATTTGAACTAAATCTGTTCTTTTCGTACTTTTTCTTAGAAACTAAAAGAGATGCTTTGGGTAATTTCATAATATTAAATTGTGAAAGGAGGATGACTCAATCAATTTAGTTTCATGTTACATTCCTAGTGTTTTCATGAAAATATATCAGTTATAATTTTTATAATATATTTAGTATAATTATTCAATTTCAATCAAGAGATCCAATAAAATTTACAAGAAATCCTCAAATTACGGTGAATTCAACACTACAATTCATGATTAAAATTGAACAATTGTAATAAGCGTAGTAAAAAGTTTGTAGTAGGTATGGTGTTAAGAATTAAGATACGGTGGTCGGTGGGTCGGTAGGGACAAGACAAGAAAGGCTATCCCCACAATCCTCATTGGTCAGACCAAAGTGTATATAATAATTTGGTCTGACATTTTAACCACAAAAGGACAATGCCCAGGCCGAGGAAGCCACCATTTTTCATTCTTGTTGATAATGTCATTCATCCAAAAGCTAGTGGTCCTTGTAACTTCAAAATAAAAGCCAGTGATTGTAAGAAATTTGAAAATTGAACGTTTTCTTTTGCTTAAAATTTAAAATTTAATTGATTTATTTAATTATTTTTAAAAAAGATAATATTTAACAAATTTTAATTTTAATTTTAATATTTATAAATGTCAAATAAGCTTTGAATTCTCGTATCACCGTGCATATTTGAATGTGTTAGAATAAATTAATTTTAATGCCTTCTTATTTGTTGTCAAGATCATAAGATTTATTATATATTGTTTTATTTATTGTTTCTTTAAATTAACCCAAAAAAATGTAATTAAAAGTGTAAAATGCATGCATTATGGTCTCGAGGGAGATCAGGTAATTCACTGGAATTGGAACGATAGCTAAACACTGATCCACCCATCTTTACCAGTGATGGAGGTCCTAATTTTTTAATTTTTTAAAAAGAAAATTAAAAACTATGAAAATCTATTTGAAGATTATTTTAATCCTTTTACTTTTTTTATATGTAAAAAAAAAAAGTCTAATAAATTTGTGGCCATATATTCCGTCTGGTCAGCAGCACTGCAGAGAAGATTTTTTGATGTGGTGAAGAAGAAGTACAATTGGCATCCAAAGATGGAAATGATTTTGCATCTCTAGACTCTACCTTAAACAATCTCTCTCCTTTAGCATCTTTCATTTATTTCGGCGGTGCCCAGCGGAGTCGGGACTTGAATTTTAGTACTGGTCATAGTCAGCCACTACTCACTCCCAGTACCACTACCATTTGTCATTTTTTTTTTTATTTAGCCGCTGCTCACAATTCTTTTACTTTTTAAAACCAAAATAAAATTTTTTTCTATTGATTTGCATTTGCGACCAATATACTAAAAGACAAGTCCGTGGTGCAGTTTTATTTGCGAGGAGATGAGACGTTTCAAAATTGAGGCGGCTTCCAAAACTTTCGCCTTCATGCTGGGTGGAATTTGATAAAAAAAAACAAAAAAAAAATGGTGAATTATCTTTTTATTTCCAACAAAAAATTTTATCTAGAGATTGCTCTTGTTTTGACTTAAAAATGAAGAGAGTTTCAAGATTTTAATAATAAACCCACTCTTATTTTATTAATTCCAACCAAGCCACTCTTAAAAATGTTATGTATGGTTTGAAGATTGGACAAAGTGGGTTTTGACAGGTTTGCAATGATATGTTAGGCGATATGAGGAACCAGGAACACAGAAGTTAAGAGTAATGAGATAAAACCTGCGATTGCTACGATCACATTTGTGCAACAATATCTGGAGGAATACTGTAAGATATATAAGTGAAAGAAGACAGATCAAAAGTGTACTCCAAGAATATGGCAAGCACCAGCTGAGGGATGGATAAAAATCAACTTTGATAGGGCACTGGAAAGAAGGAGGATAGGGTTGGCATTGGTCGCATTGCTAGAAATCATCTAAGAGAAGTATAAGAAGTATTCTTCCTAACTATTAATGGCATAAGAGACCCAGACATTATTGAAGGAATGGCACTTGCAAAAGCTGCTAATTTTGCAAGGAACATGTGCATGCATAGAATGATACTAAAGGAAAATACGTTGGGGGTAACCTTATAGATTAACCTAAACAAGGTAACCGATCTTTCAAGAATTGGGAACTTCTTGGAGGAAACTAGAATGGAATTGTCCAATGTTGCAAAATGGATGGTGTCCCATACGTATCATGAAGTGAATGGGGTGGCTCACAAGCTTGCAAAACTAGCAGCCGTTGGGAGAGAAGAATGTTCTTGTTTAGAAAGGGTCCTCGCAGAAATCTATTCTAAAATTCATGACATCGTATTCCAAGAACTTTGTCTTTAAGTAAATGAATCCTTTTTTTTAAATAAAAAAATTTCAAATAATTTGAGACGAATAAAATATTATCTAATTATTGATTAAATTCAAATGTGATGTCTATTAATTCACAAATAAATCAACTCATAAATAAAATATTACAATCACACCAATAATTTATGTGAAAACTACAAACATTTAAGACAAAAATAAAGGGATAAATAAAATTTTCCTTTTCTTTAGTTACTTTGGTTACGTTAAAGACTCCTATGGACTCTCACTTTCCATTTTGACAAACTAGCAAATTATAGTTATTATTCTTTTTACTATATGAGACAATTAGAAATTAAATTTTCATCATTAAAATTAAAAAATAATCATTTTACCTATAGACTATGGCAATTATTAATTTCTTGTTGAAAAGTTGGATTTTGGATTTAAACCAAGAGTTTAGTCAGCAAATCACCATCTTAATTAAGTTTAGTTAAATATATACTAGGAGAATGTTAATTAATGGCTATATTAAATATTCATTATATTCCTATTCATAGAAAGGATGTTTTATAATAGTAATGTCAATTTTAATTTAAAAATTATAATTTAATTAATCAATAAAATTTCGTTTAATTTTACTTTTATTTTTTTATTTTACTTTTATTTTGGTAAAAAGTGGAAACTAAAAAATAACCAGAAATTCTGGCAAAAAAACCAAAAATAAAAGAAAATTAACAAAAAAAAAGAGTAAAAGCAATAAGGAGTTAAGTGTTCACAGAAATAGTAATATTTATATTTTAAATGCAGTAATGCAGCGTTAATGTGATGATTTGGGAAACAATAGTATTTTTTTAAAAAAATTTTAGTCTATTCTTAAATTTTTTTATTTTATTATATATTTAATTTTAAAAAAATATTATGCATTTGAGTTTTTTTGAACAAGTAATCTTTAATTAATAACTCCAACAACATATTAATTAATTAATCGGGAAACAATAATACTTAATACGGAACTTTGAAGACCCTTGATTAATCAGTTACCACATGCCATCAAAATTAGGTAACAGTTTTTTTTTTTTTTACAGTAAAAAAATGGTAACAGTTATTGTTCACGACCCAAAAGATGGAAAGTTTCTATCATTCCAAAATAAAAGAGAATAGATTAAATATAATCTTACTAATTCAACAAATTTGATTGATAACAAATCACTAGATTTTGGCAAACAATATTTAAGAAATTACTGATAGATTTTTAGATTAGTTGACATGATATTAAAATTAATGTTTAAAAATTATAAATTTTAAAAAAAATTATATATATAATGTTTTTTAATTAATTAAATATAAAAATTAAAAGTAAACATAAATTAAAAAATATTTTAAAAAATTAGAAAAATGTCAAATAAAATTTATTTTTAAAATATAATAAAATAAAAAATAATAAAAAATATATTAATCTTTTAATTTTATTTGTAAAATTAAAAATTTTACTCATAATATATAAAAAATTAACTCAAATAAATATATAACGTGATTGGATAATTTATAGAACTCAAAAAAAAAAAAAAAAAACCTGAAAATAGTATGCATTAGAATTAGCGTTATAGAATGAAGAGGAAATTGTTAAGGGACAGAAAACAGTAAAAATGAATCTTATCTTAATCTGACAGTTTGGTCCACTTGCTGACAGTAGCGTTGTCCACATTCATACATCAAATCAAGCCATGAATAGAGCCAACGCTTTAAGAGGCGTTTGAGAGTTTCATTCTCACAACACTCTCTCCTTTGGCCTTTTATTCTTGGCATGTTTTTTCTCGGTTTCAGATTAAAAAAAAATGGTGCCCTATAGCCTTCTTCGATCAACTCTCAAAACCCAGGTTCTGAATTCTTCAACCCATAAACTTATTTTTTTGCTTCTGGACTACTGTTTGATTGACCCTTTTGTTTAAAAAAATCAGTCTTCATGTTTTTTCCTACATGTTTGGATCATGATCAGAGAATAAATTTTTCTGTTCTTCTGATTTAGCCAAATTTCCTCCTTGATAGATTTTCTTATCTGGAGTTTTTAATTTTGTTGCTGACAAATGTTGTTAGAAAGAACAAGCTTTTATTACTTTTTCTCTTTCTTTCTTTATGTCGTTGTCATGATTTGTTTGTTTTGTTGGAGCTTTTTCACTGTTTCCTCCTTCATGGATCATTTGATGTTGTAAGGAATCATTCAGTATCATCTTCTAAACTATTTAGAATTGGAAAATACAAACATGTTGTTTCTTTTGGATCTAATTCTATGATCAGTTTCACTTTAGCATCTGTTTATAAAAAATGCTAGAAGGGAATATGATTAGATATATTCAAGAAATAATGGAATGAAATCCTCAATGTGGAGAAATTTGTTTCCTTACTGAATCTACTATCTATTTTTCAAGATTTCAACATCACTGGCTGTAATTTTAGGTTGTGTTTGGCTTCTGAGAAAATACTAGCATACATAAGTGTTATTTCGGGTTAACATAATCATTTTATACTCAACTTCCATGTTTCTGGATCAGTTAT